GGAATATAAAAACCAAAAAACTTTTTACATTTCAAACAAAAATTAATAAAAAAAATATTTTGATCATCTTACATAAATTAAGAACGTAGATAAAAAAAATTATGGAAACAAGAAAAAGAAAACGGAACTTTAAATATTTTTGGTTAATAAGTTAAAAAAATATAAATTATGACAAGTTGTTGTTTCAATTTTTCTCTAATATCAGTCAAAATGTATACTATTATTAATAATAATATTTTTAAGAATTATATGCTTTAATTTAAAAATAATTTTAATAAGTATTAATAATGAGAATGAGTTAATAGAAAATAATAATATATATTTTAAATTTATAGAACCCTAACTAATGCAAAATTTTCTAACAATTAACATATTTCTAATTTTTATAACAAAACATATTTTTCCTTGTTTATAATATAAGTGTTTTTTCATGACTTTTTATATTAATAATATCTAAGAATTATTTATAATGAATAATTAGTATGTTTCACTCTTTTTACTCGTGTTTAAGCCATGTATCCAAGATATATATAGAAACTTCTACAAAATAAAGATTTTTTTAAAATCATTACATAATATATATATATATATATATATATATATATATATATATATATATATATATTAAAATACATATATATTTTATGGAGGTATTGATAGTGTTTCCAAGGTTATCATCTCCATATTTTATCTTTGCCAACAATGGATAACAATTCTCAATAGTTTTCTCATTTTATATTAAAACAATTATACTAGAAATAGTAAAATTATTAAATGCTTATAATTACGAAAAACTAGAACTATTTTAACTAATTAATTTCCATTAAATACTAAATACTTCATTAGGTAAAAATATAAAAAAAATTGAAGAAGTAATTAATATTCTTTTCTAAAATAAGATAAAATGAAGCGAAATTCTTCCACAAAATCTAATCTATAAGGGAATAAAGAAAAAAAGCAAAAAAGAAGAAGAAGAATGATTTATTGCTCACTCTAAACTTAAAAAATTCATTAATTAGAGTTTTTTATTTAATTTTGTTTTTTAATTTACGTAATTAAATCTGAAGAATTATTTTGAAAAATGAATTAAAAGTGATTTGATAACTATAATTTAAAATTCATTTTAGATCAATTTACTTTATATAAAAGAACATGATACATACGGTAAAAAAGAGTTGCAATAGAAATTGGTAACATGACAACAAAACGAATTATAGAATATAACTATTATTAAATATATATATATATATATATTAATTAGAAACATGCAACTAAAATATCATATTTTATTAGTTTTTTTTAAGTTTTTAAAAACTAAAAAATAAAAAAAAAATCTGTTTTAATGAAAACAGTATATAAAAAATAAAAAATGATAATTATTTTTAAACCAACAAAGAAACAAGTTGCTAAGTATGTTGATATATTTTACTATTATTCTGGAATAAATTTATATTTTTTTAATACTTAAAGAACTAGTTATTATAGTTTTTAATTTGAAAAATCATTAATGAGAGAAAGCAATAGTTTAAGGAGGAAATAAAGGGTGTAAATTAAAAAGCAATATAACGCTTCCACCGCTTTATTCCCTAAGTAGCCTTATAAATCATACTAATATCTCAGCCAACTCTTCCCTCACCATTCACCAACTTCAACATAGCAAAATCATCGTCTCAATGGTGAGTTCTCTCTCATTTTCACTCAATTTCACATTCTCTTTTCTGCTTCAGTGCAAATGTTGTTCAATTTGAGTTTTCTTCTGATTTTGTTAGTTTACTATTATTATCACTATTATTTTGGAGGTACCCTAGTGGTCCATTTCTTGGATCGGAAGTTAGCTGTATAAGGTACTGTAGAATAAACTCCAACGATAATGCTCGATTCGAATTATAGACACGCTGATCACTTCTTGGTTCACTTCTCCTGGAAGGATCTTGGCTCGTTGCATACCATTACCTGATGGTGCAACTCTGATAACCATTTATTCGGTTGATGTTACTGAAATTTGGCAACGAAGGGCACCTAATGGAATGGTTAGATAGAGTGCATGTTAATATGCACTAGAGAATTTGGTTCCTTGGGAACTTCCTTGTGCTTTGTGCACCTTCCTCTTCCATATGTCTCTTTTGGTCTATTTTGAGTGTCTTGGAAGATCCAATAGACTACTGATGCGACCATTAATGGTTTGGACTACTTGTGAAGACTTTCTTGATTTAATCAAGCACTGTCGGGGAACTTCCTCAAAGTGGAATGATTAGTTTCGCATTGTTCCAGCTTCTCTTTGAGGTTGAACAAAGAAGTCTTCTGGTTTATTGTCTACCAGAAAAGGAATTACTTGGAATACATCGGGGCATCTAGAGGAGACTAGGACGAGACCCAAATTCATTCTTAGAAGCAGTGTTGTTAAATAGCTGCTATAGTGCTATTGCATTATGGCATTATGGAATTCCTTAGATACGCGATTTCAACTCCGTCTTCAGCCATTAAATGACTTCCGTTATTTGGCTGCGACGGTATCCTGTAAATGATATATATAGCAGATTATTGGCTTTCCGCCATTTCAAGTAATCTGCAATTAATAATACTTCTTGAAAGACCTCCACTTCCAACTATGAAAAAAATATGAAGAAGTTAATCCACCCAAAAATATCTTTGGTGCCAAAAGTGTCAATGTATTTGGCTATAAAAATTCAAGGTAATTCCATGGTCTATCAATGCAATTAGGATGGGGCAAAATACATATGAAGCTGTGCAAAATTAGCGAATTAGGTCACAGATTGTAGGGAATTGTAACAGATGGTGGCACAAATGTATAAAAAACCTCTTTGCTGATGAATGATGCAAATTTGGCTCTATGTCTCTCAGGTTGCTTTCCTCTTCACGAGGAACTTGCAATGTAAGGTCTTTAAAGAGAGATTACAAATGAGGAGATTCATAGAATCATAGGTAGTATGGGATTGGGGAGTGTTAATGCTTCAGTGAGAGATGACCTGCAAGTTACATGAGTTAATGGGAAGTGTTGAAACATCTCTTTTTAAGGAGGTTTTACAAAAATATAGTAAAGGCCGTTGAGATAAATGATACCTTAATTACCTTGATCCCAACATTGTGGCCGGCCTGCAATGTGAAAAGACTTTCATCCCATTAGTCATTTTATCGTCTCTTATAAAGTTGCTACCGAACTATTGGCACAAAGGCTAAGGGAGGCAATGGAGAACTAGTTAGCCATGCTAATGTAGAATTTTTGTTTAGAAAACCAAATCAGGGCCAATATTCTTCCATTCTATGAGAATGGAAAAAGGAAAGACAACGGATGGATGATAATCCAAATAGATATGGTAAAGGCATAGCCAGAATAATTTGGAATTTTGTTCAGGAAATTCACACAGATATTGGTTTCTTTGATCATTTTATAGATCTAATTTGGTACTGTATCCAACAATGAGGATGATGTGCAATGGTAAAGCGTTGAAGGCTTTCTCCTCTTAAGGTATTTGGCTGGGTTACCCTACTTCTACTTTCCTTTTTGTACCATTGTAAAAGTTATCCTACTTGATTAATTTGGTGGTTGATCAAGGCTTTTGGAAACCTATTCAATCATCAGATGAAGGTCCTAGATTCGTAGTATATCTCATTTCATGATGATGATGATCTCGTTCTGTTGGCTGAAGCTAGTCTCAAGTTATATAAACTTGCCTCAAGCCATTTTGTGCAAGCTGAGGTCAGAGAGTCATATGAACTAGACACACATGTGTATTGGCATTTCCAAGACCAAATTAGTCAAGAACAAACAATATAGGTAAATATGTTGGTGTTCCTCCATTCATCCAAGAGTGAACCGAGATACTTTCTTGTATGTCATTTCGACAACACTAACCTAAGACGAGCTTCTGGAAATACCATCATCTCCAATTTATGTAACCCTAATCTGTTTTGTCCTTTAAGTACTACCTAGTTATGTGATGCAAACAATGTTTATCTCCTTAGATATTTGTGACACACTTGACAAGTGTAGAGATTTTGTTTGGCGAGTTGAACCTAACTAAGGGAAAATTCATCTGCATGTATATGTAACCCCACACTTAGTGGTGGCCTAGGGGTAAGATCTACTATAATTCCACGTATAAGGAAAAGGCTGGCTGGAGACTGAGTGTGCACCCAGAGAAATGATCTCTGGCTAGAGGTGGTACGGTTAAAATACAAATGTGATAATGAGAGTATTCTGCTGACTAAATAGCTGAGAACGCCTCGAATATTTGGTGAGGAGCTTGTTGTAACTTGAGCACAGTAATCAATAAGATCACTTGGATGGTATGGAATGGGAGGACAGTTTGGTATCAGACTGACCATTTTAGCCCCAGGGTGGGTGGCTTGACTGAAGTTGCCCTGAAAACATTGACTGATATTAATCTAGAAAGGTTGATGACTTTATCACTAGTTCAGGAAAAAGGAATGTTCATATGTTGCGACATCATCTCCCACGGATCATTTGTGATGGATCATGGCACATCAACCTCCTTCGCTCGTCAATGCAGAGGATAAAAAATCTCGGAGAAACTCAAATAATGACCAGTTCTCACTAGATATGGCCTACTTGAGTATGGGTAGCAATAGTCAACAACTTCACTACCATCTCTTCATCTTGATATCGTGATGGAAAAGCCTGAATGCATTAAAGTTGTACTACCGAAAGTAGCTTGAGAAGAAATATTAACTAATTTCCAAATATGTGAACGTGGCATTGCTCAAAATCTACTCTTACTGCAAGTCAGGCCCAAAAACTAATTTCCAAAAATGCAAACGTGGCATTACTCAAACTGAACTGAATGCATTCTCCACCAAGTTAAGCAGTGCTAAAGTTAAGGTGCGGTCTGTAGAGTATAAAGGAAGCTATAGCTTTATAGCTAAGAGAAATTGCAATATCTCTAGGAAAGAGTGTGTCCTAGCCACATCTGCTGGATAGGTAAAACTAAATTGTGATCTGACTATTTCATTCTTGAAGCATGAAGCAGCATGTGGAGGTGTTCCCTGACCAAATGGACAGATTCATCCTTGTTCACTCGGTAAATTTGGGAATGTGCACTGTGTTACAAGTGGGTCTTGAGTTAAGAAGCACAGATGCTACAACTTGTTACATGTATCTAGGATAATCCATTGATATTTATTGATGAAGTATCCAAATCTATGAATTACCACCATTTTTATTTGTTTCACTCGTGTGATATTTGATATTTTTAGATAGTTTATATCCAACCAATGATTTATAATATTTTATTTCGACAATTTCTAAGAAGTGATTTTTATTTGGATTTACATAAATATAATATTAAATGGATTTTTATACATTTTTAATTATATATCTTACATATATATTATATATATCATATCTTATTATTTTTAGAATGAGTGTATTGACTTATAGGATATGTTATCATATATGATATGTACATCGGATTCTTGCATCATATTTATTGGACAATCGTTTATGGGATTAAAACAGCTTGGAAACTTGGATTTCCCAGGATTGCAATTTAATCGGACTCCCATGTGAGAATCAGATTGATAGATACAGGGTGTTTAGTCATGCAATGCAACTGTGATATGCACTAGTCAATTAGATTCATTATTTCATGATTCAACACAGAAACACTGTTTTTCCCATATTTTCTGCGAGTCATAAAGTAAGGGGATTCCTTAGCCAAGTCTGGTCTATCTTATGAGGACAATTGTTGGATTTTTTATGTCGCTGACACATTTATTTTCTTTCCTCTCATGGCAAATCTGTAGTCTGTTATACGTTGTTTTTAGTTTATTGGGCTGTTTACTCCTTTCTATTACAAAAATGTGTTGTATAAGTTGTTGATATATGAGAATAAGATGTTCCTTTAGTTTGAGAAATGCAGGAGCTGATTTTGATGTTGGAGAATAGCTGCATATATCTATTTGAAATCATGAGCATATGAGCATCTGAAGTTGATTTCTTTTTAATTTTATTTTTCCAAAATTTGTATTAGAATCTGGATACATATATTATGCGGTTGTATCGTAAACTCGAAAAAGAGCTCAAGGTGTTCATATAAAGGAGCTTGATTTGAATCAAGGACCTTTAGACCCAACTCATGCATCAATTGCTGAATTTGATTCTTTATAAGAAGAATTAACATCTGTCCATGAACCTGTGCAGGACCGTCTTAGGCGCCTTCTTGAAGCAGTACCTTCCAGAGCCCGGCAGCATCAGGATCGGCCGCCCGTTGGCCCTGCGATCCAAATAAGCAACCCCACTGAAGAAACTGTTGTGGGGACTGAGGCTCAAGTTGAAGGAATTGAGCACCAGAGAGTTGAGGAAAGAGTAGATGGAAGTGCGAAACGGCGCATAATGAAAGGGGTGCATCTAATAGCTAAAGCATTGGAGGATGTGGAAGTAGGTACTCGTAAGCATGGAACAGGCAGCGGAAATTTTTTTGAGTGCAACATATGCTTGCGCATAGCAAAAGATCCTGTATTGACTTGCTGTGGCCACCTGTTTTGCTGGACATGCTTTTATCGCTTGCCGTATTCCTATGGAGATGCAAAGGAGTGCCCTGCTTGTGATGGAGAGGTCATTGACACTAACATTACTCCAATTTATGGCAATGCGAGTGGCAGTGGCAATTCTGATGCAGCTTGTTCGACAGTTCCTCCTCGCCCTGCTGCAAACAGAATTAATAGGTTTAGCTAACAACAACAATAGTTGCCATGATCCCCATGTAGCAGGGGAGGAAGAAGCAAGAAGTTATGCTGGCTTCCGTGACTCCTCTAAGTAGGAATGTTGACACCTCTTCTGAAATCCAACTTTCAGACTGAGACTAGTCCATTGGATATTTCATCTTATACTGTAAGCATCTGACGTAAGTCACTTTTGTTGCGGTGGTGTCCTCCACCAGAGGATTTAAGGCTGTGTTCTTCGTATACAAACTACCATCATGTCTTAAAAAACATACCGGTACTAATACTCTCCATTGACTCAAAGGTCCCTTAGTAGTAAGTAGACAACAATTATAACAATTTTATATATTTTTTTCTATCTCAACAACATTATCTGTTATAGTTTTTACATTTTTTTCTCTGTTTTTTTTTTAAGTTTAATTATTTTTAATTTATGAGATTTTGAATAAATTCAATTTAATTTCCAATTTTTTAAAAATTATTTTATTCTCTCAAATTTGAAACATGATGTTTTTTTTTTGTTTTTTACTGAGTTCAAGAAGTAAAAATATATTTATTCAAAAGAAAATTTCAGACTAAAACATATTTTTTTAATTTGGAGAGGAAATGTGGATTTATTATTGTACGTTTAAGGGAATAAAATATAACTATTCTTTTATCCTTTTTATGATATTTTTTAATCAATACGTTTACCTGATAAATAACAGGGCCAAGATGGCCCCATAAAAACAAACAAACCTGGTGTAGATCAGTTGGACCCATTCTTCTGACACAAAGAAGAAATAAAGAAAAAGTACTTATTTGTTGTGAACTTTAATTGTGAAAGAAACCCCCCAACATGTTTTGACTCAAAGCTCAGTACTTTATTTATTCTACCATAGATGCATGCATACCAGACGAACTTGTTTATGATTAGACCATCTACCTTCACTTCCACGTCTTACTCTAAGAAATTTATTATGAAAAGGTTCTGAAACAATTCAAAGCTCTTTTCCCCAAGGACAAATTGGTAAATGCAGTCAATGCTAATACTCCCCCCTAAATTACTTGAACAACCCTCTAGTTTACCATGAATTCCCATCGAAACACAAAGGTCATCAATGTATTTATCCCCCAATTCCAATCTATTAAATCTCCTTCAATTCAAAGGCTTCATGTTCAACCTAAACCTCCCATTAGCCAAGTCTAAAAAAGTTCCAAAAAGAAGTCTTTTCAATTCCATTCCCTCCTGTGTTTTGAACTATTCTATGGCATCAAGAATTGCTCCTTCAATTCCAAACACGAAGCGTTCGTGCCTGTGCTCTCCCACCACACATCCTGGCTCCTTCAGGTGTAATCTGCATAAGAAGAAGCCCCTCAGAACTATGTCCAGGAACCCCTCCAACACCTCTCATCTTTTAGACTCATCCATGCCAGCAAAAGCTAATTCTTTGAAGGCCTTTCTCCTGCAAGTTATTAAGCCCTCTAGCCATGATCTTCATAGGAGGAAGAGTTTCCATCCAAAGCCTACTCGATTCTCTTTGATGAATGGTAACAATGATGCAGTTGCAGTCTCTTGATCTCAAATTAGTTCTTTGGCCTCTCCTATGTGCTGTTTTACGTGTAAATAATACAAGGGAACCTCTTGATCTTTTTCTTCTTTGCTTATTTGGGGTTAGAAAAAGAGTTTATAGCTATGTAAGGATATCAGTGCATAGTGGAAATGACAAGAAAACATAGTTTTGTTTTGGTTGGGATTTGCAGCAAGATGGTATGCTTTTTTTGTTGACATGACATTTTCATTTCCACTTCACTGGCTTGTTTTACAATACTACACAGTGCTATAATTACATGTAATTTATGAAGTGAAAATCTTTGTTATCTTATATTCATTTTGTTTGAGTGCCACTGTTTTGTTGTGAACTTGTGATAGGAGGTAAAAGAATATCTTAAAGCAACCATACCAATAGCATGAAAAAAAAAATTGTAGAAAAAATGTATGAGTCATCATAATGGCACTCAACACATTGATTATTCTTTCGTCACCTTTCTCTTTTTCTTGACACAACAAAATTATTGTAGCAACCTAAAACATGTCATGTGAGCAGAATCTTTCATTTTCTCCCCGACATGAAAGCCTTCCAATTCTGTTGCCCAATTGTTTAAGGAATTGCTTCATTGCTTTAATTTGTTTAATACTAAGTTTTTACGCAATCAATTAGCCTACAAAAGAATAATTTTATTAAGAAGAAAAAAACAAAGAAAAACACAATAACAATCACAGATGGGAAATATAAGATATTTATTTAATTGCTTCATGTTGATGATGTCGTTGAGGATAGGATCTCAACTAGCAATTAATATTTAATTGGACACGTCAATTTACAATATTAGTAAAAAATAATTTACTTTCCTTAAGAGAAAGCCCCTTCACGTTCATTCCTTTCAATCACATAGAATCTATAAAAAATTTATAATTTTCATATAAGATAGACTTAGATGCAGGCCAATAACATGAACAAAATTTAGATAAGATCCAAGATATTGTACACTTATCATAGCAATATTTTTATGGTACTATCTTGACATGCCAACTTGCAGTGTAATTTTATATATGGTATACTTTAAAGTTTTACTCTGGTTTATTAACGTTGAGTCTAAATAAAATAACTAATTATTTTGTTCATTATGGAAGAAAATAAGAAGGTTTCTGTTTGGTATGTAAATGTTAAGTATATGCTTCATTTACGTGGGAAAGAGATGGATTGAGCAAATAAAAAGATAAAAACTAATTTTATAAGAGGTTAACTATTCCTTATATTAAACCTTCATAAATATAAATTATTTATTACCAATATAATTAAATACGAAAAGTTAATATATAATTAACTTTAAACCTCTACATATCTCACAAATGTAACTTTAGATGGCTTAGGAAACAACAATTACAGCTGCAATTCCTTTTCCTTTATTTTGTATCATCTATCAATTAAAGTTATTTCTCGACATTTTCATTATAGGTCATAGAAAAATAATTTTTGTATCAACAATTAATTTTTGATATGCTGTTTTCTATTATTTCCGAAAATTTAGAAAAATTTGTGTTGCAAGTCTCAACGTGTATTAACTAAATTATAAATAGTTTTGAGGAATAAATTATAAAATAATAAAATCTAAATAAAAATGAAGAAATTTATATAAGATTATAAAAAAAATTGTATATATACCAAGAATATATATAATTATTTTATTTATATTACTCTTATAGAATTGTTTTAGATAATATATAATATTATTTTTAAGGTTTAGTTATATTAATTAATTAGATGAATCATAGTTGTTCGAGTCACACATGAGTCACACATCGTTTTGTAATCAAGGTCAGATAATTTATATACGTTCTCTTTTAACCTATTTTTTCGTCTTTTAAAAATAAACCTCTCTTATTTTAAAAATAAACTATGAAGAATTATAACTTTAAACAATATATATATTAATTTTAAATATATGTTAAACTAATAATATTAAATTTTATGCATCATATTGGATGCACAAAATCCGACAGGTACATCCTTTTTTTCTCATATTTTCCTTAGTCTATTTTTCATCTTATAATTTAATAGATTTTATAATTTATACATTAAATATTTTATGATATATGATAAACATTAAATTCCATACATTTATTTATGAATGTAATTATGTCAAGGTTATCAAGGTAAAAGTAGAAATATCTGATTTTTTGTGATATTTATGTCTTCTTTTGAAAATTAGTATCAGTGTCACCTGGGTTTTGGTTTGGTTTGAACTAATTCCTTTAAAGTAAAGAAATATGTTAAATGAAAGTGATTAATGCTAACTACATCAAACAAGAACATAATGTCTTTAAAACCTAAATTTTTGTTAACTATAAAAAGTAATGTCTTTAAGATCACCAAATATGTTCTTATTTATAATAATGATATTAATATAGTAAAGAAAAGTGGTATCTTGAAGTGATGACCTCAACTTTTTAAAATGGAGATGTACATGCAATGAAAGCATTTAAAATTGGAGAACAACTTAAATAGTGATCCATGGAATCGCACAAGAAGATTTCCCCACGGAAAATAATCAATGCAGAGCACATGATGACTTGGATCGTTGTGGGAAAAGAAATAGAAACTAAAACTTTGTTTCATGCCAGATATAAAAAATAATGATGTTTTTTAATCACAATCTAACATAATCATATTCATAATCTGTGTACTCTGTATGTAGGATGCTGAACAATTAATAGTGAGTAATTAATAAAACCTTCAATTATTAATGGCCCAAATAGTGTTGTCTCACATTCTTTTAGGTGTAGATTGAGTAGTATAAAATAAGTTTCCACCTTTATTTGATATGCTTTGCCAGTTGGATTAAAAAAATTCCAAATTTTCAAATGCCAAATTCCAAATCGAGTTAGATAGATAAATGGATTAATATATGTTAAAAATTTTGACAAATATTTTAGTAAGTTAACTTATTTATTTTAATAATCTTAAAAATAAGATTTATATTTAAGTAAGTTCATTTTCTTAATCATCTAATTAATGATTGGTCCAAAGACAACATAAATGATTGGTGATTTTAGTTTGGTATAATACAAAGAACCTAACACACAATAATTGATTAGTCATCACCATATCACCCACTTATACGCAACCAACATGGCTTAAATCGCATAAACATGCTTCGATGCTTTCAATTTATTTATTGTTGTATGTTTGGTTGAGATATAGTTGTAGATTTTAAAACTTAAGATTATGTTAATTACTTTTTTATTAATTATATTCTTATATTTTTATTTTTATTTTTCAGAAAATATAATAAGTTATTAAGAACAATTTTGCATTAAAATAATATTAAGATAATAAGAATTCTAATGGAAAAAAAATTAACAAATTTATTGAAAATAATAATAATAATAATTATTGTTTATCTTAACATCGATCTTGGTTATGTGACTGACAAATAACAAATATGGAGTATTTTAGAAAAAAGTGAAATCTTATCTTCTTCTTTTTAACAATAATAAATGAAAAATATTCATAAATAGAATTGAGTGAATTATATAAAATAAAATAGAATATTTTTAATTATAAAATCTTAGAACTTTTAAGTTTATTAATAATTTATTTATATATTACTCTTTTTTATTTTTAATTAATATAAAATTATGAAAATGTAATCTTGGGTTACGCAGATTATAATATGACGGAGAAAAATACATAGGTGAGAAGAATGGGAAGGTCTAGAAATTAATTTTATAGGAAATAGAGAATAAATTATAATTTATTATGTTAAATAGGAAAGAAATTGATAAAATAAAATAAACTTCTGACTATCGTGAATGGATATCATCTCATGCTACTTCAAGTCTAAATACTCGGAATATATCATCTCATGCTGCTTCTTAATTTTATATATTTAAACCTATTAAAAACTATATTACGACAGATTTTTATATAATTAAGAATATAAAAATATATTATTTATATTTTCTTAATCTTATACTATTTAAAATATAAATTATCTCCACTAAAAATCTTAAATTCACTATTAAATATGTTTTATGTGTTGATTCATTCAAAAAAAGAATTTACTAAAAAAAGAATATTAATAAAGTATAAGTCTAATTTATATACAAAATTTAAAATTTAAAATCTTAAAAATATTTCGAATCTTATTTTACTTAATTTTTTCATTTTTATACCATATAACTTATAACTTTCACTCGTATTTGAATTATAATATTACGCACTTGTTAAGATTATTTAAGTGAGGATAAAAAGGAATGTGTGGCTTGTAGTCAACCTTCACATTCACCACACAGTCACACTTGCATGCCCGCTACGTGTCCTTCTTGTTTTCTAGTTCTTTTTCTTAAATTCAGAATCTTTCAAGGGAAGAAATGGTGGTCACTATTTATGACTGGAAAGGCACTTTCGGTCTGAAAGGCAGGTGCCTAACCTGGTTCAACGTGACTGGTCCCATCAAGCATGGAGCAATTCAGCGAGCAGTTCATGAACCCAAGATATTAAGAGCCACCCATGTGTTGGATTTGCATTCAACCATTGCAACCATCATCTCAAAATTTGAACGATGACGTCGCATTCTCATTCGAAATAATATATTATTAATAAATAAATATTAAAAAAATATAAAAAAATAAAATAAAAAGATAAAATTTTAAATATATATTTAAATATATTAAATGATTATTAAGTTTAATCAAAAACAAAATCATAAATAATAGGAAGAATTATAAAACTAAGAAAGACTAAGAAAATAAAATTATAAATATATTAAATATTCATTATATTTAAAGATGAAAATCATAAATTATATAAGAGTTATAAAATTAATATATTAAATATTTATTATATTTAAAAGACCAAAATTATAAATTATATAATAGTTATAAAATTTTTAAGTAACACTGTCCTTTTTAACTTTCAAGAAAATTCACCATTAAATAACTTAATTTCCAAAAATATTCACCACCACTCTCGACAACTTTACGTATGCCTTAATTCCATAGTTTAATTTAAGTTACACGTTAAATTCTTTTATCAACAACATGGCACCATATTGTTAACAAAGGACAAGAAATAAAATCATAAGGATTTTTTTCATAATTTATATTAAATAGTAACAAATTGAGTTCTCATCTTATTTTCTTTGTTCGATTTGTGTTTTGAAAATGAAAAATAACATACCTACATTTGACCGGTTAACTCTGTATTTTTCTAAAAAACAAAGCCATCTTTTAAGCAGAGTAAGTGTGATTATATACATTACAAATAGTTTAAGAAAATAAGTTTATATTTTCGAAGTGTGTTGATTAAGAAAATTAATGTTATTGATATTATAAATGAAAATATTTAAAAATTAACTTTAGTTGTATATAACTAATTATGAAAAATAAAATATCCAAATATACAACTATATCATTAAAAAATATTTTTTTTAAACGCATATTATTTGTTAGACTATTTATGATTTACTTTTTTTATTAAATGAATGTCTGAATAAATATAGTTTATTTTTGTACCATTTTAATTTAATATAAATTTTGAATAAAATGAAACATGTTTTTTATAAATTACTTTGTGATTTTTATTATTATAAATTTATCAAATAAAAAGTTTTTTTTTTCTTTTGATATATAATTGAACTTTTAGTTTAAGGTGGGCGAAGCCGCAGTTTTGCGACGTTGATTTGAAACCTGTTTGCTGTTAGAACGAAACCTGGTGTAAGCTTTACCTTTCTTTCATCCAACGACTTTCAAATTTCATTTTTGTATTCAAATCCCTGCATTTTTCTTTTCATTTTTTACTTTTATTTGCTTATTATTTTTAAAAATAATTTTTAATTTTAATAAAGATAAAATTATTTTAAAATTGTGTAAATAATGTTTTAAAACTTTTTTTGAATTAAAAATAAAATTAATAAAAGTATTTTTTATTTTTAATAATAAAATGTAGTATTCACCAATAATTATTATAATGAAATTATCAGAAATTATTTTTTTATTTCTACCGTAAATGCTATTTTCTTTCGATTAATTTTTTTAATTAAAATTATCAATTTTTTTAATAAATTTAAATATAATTTACAAAAATTAATCTTTAAAATTATTTAAAAAAAAACACTACATCCAACAAACCTTATGCATTTTCAATAAATAAATATCAACTTCGTTTTTTACATTAATAACGAATAAAAACTAAAGTTATATATATAATAACTGCCACATAAGTTTCGTTTTCATTATAAAATAACATAAAAGTACAAATTATTTAAATTTTGTCATTTTAAAGGATTATCCAGCAAATTTAAAAATTGAATTATAATTCTTAAAAATATTATTTGCTCAATGAATTGAATACCCATCCATGATTTTTTTTCAAATGGATTCGATTTTTATTATTGAATTGAGTTTTAATTATTTCTTCTATTAATAAAGATGTATTAATAGTTTTTTATGCGAGTAATTATAATCTAAATATATTTTAGCTAATTCAGTGTGACAAAGTTAATATAAAAATAATATCTTAAGAATATCTCTAACAACAACTCATATAAATTGTTTTTTATTTTAAAAAATAAAAATAAAGATTTATAATTTTATATAATTTGTAAACAACTTAATTATGATTTTTCTCAATTAGAAATCTTTTTATTAAATTTTAAAAAATGTATTATTATTTTTTATTTATTTTGATTTACTTATTTTTATAAATTATTTGATGAAATATATATATATATATATATATATACATATATAATTTAAACACTAATTATATTACATAAAATTATTTTAATGATAAATTATTTTAAATAATTAATTTTTTTATTTAAGTATCTCAATAAATAATTAAATATTAACGAATTAATAAAATTATAAATTAAAAGAAAATGAGAAGAAAAAAAGCTTTCGAATCCAATTATGGATTGATTGCTACAAAATTATTTGATTGGATTTCAATTTAAAAAACATAGTCTAAATTAACATGTTTATTTATATATATTAAAATCTCAATTGTTTTAAAAAATAAATAAAAATGAAAAATAACATACGAATATATAGTTTTAAAGAAATACATTACTTAAGTAAATAATTAAAAAAAATAAAAACATTTAATTGATTTATCAAAATATAAGATGTTTTAGATGCGACATAAACTTAATTAAAATAGTCAAATCCTTAACCCTTTCAAAATTCATAAAATTTTGAAACGTTTTTCAAATAAGTTTAATACAACAATTAGTCTCTATTATTTTTTTGTAAAATTAATCAGGTCCCTAAAATTTATATACGGCCGCTTTAAATCGTTCAAAAATAATAATTTATGGTAATTTGATTAACTTAAGAGACTTAGTTACAAAATTATTAGAAAATAATATATTTTTTCGTTTAGAAATTCAATTAAAAAATCCAAATAACTTGAATAACCTTCTAATATTTTAAACATTCTAAATACTAGCTCAGGAATGATATCTTAACTAATGACGTTAGTTTATAGATGAAAGCAGGGGTCAGGAATGAAAATACAAAAAATAAAAACCCCAATCACAAAATAACGAAAGCATAGGTAGTCATCTTTCAATTCTACCCTTCACACAAGCTCCTATATATACATTGTTAGAGTAAAGCAAGGTTTGCCAAATCAGAGGGTCGATCCCTTCTTCCTTGAGAAACCCCAAATAAAAACCATTTCCTCTCTTCTCTCTCTAAACTCACTTTCTCTCTCTAAAATGGCGGCAGCTTCTAGAAAATCAAGCGGTCCAGTCGGCAGATTTCGTAGTTCCCCGCCACCGCCGGTTTCTTATTCTTCCACCGCCTTCGCCTCCTCATGTTCAACCTTTTCCACACGCTCCACAAACTTCTTCCACCGCTCCACCTCTCCCACACGTGTCAATCTCTGCGGTTCTTCCGCTTCCGTCCGGTTCGGTTCAATCTCCCCGAACCGTTCCATCTCCGTCACCGGTACCAGCACTAGCAAGGCGGTCAAACGACAGAGCCACCACCAGAAGCGAACCTGCATGTGCTCGCCGACAACGCATCCCGGCTCGTTCAGGTGCAGCCTCCACAAGAACTTCGGCTCTCGCACAGCACCGGCGCCGCACTACGCGCCGAACCGGCTCAACGCGCGGCGGTCGGCGATGACAAACTCGCTCGTGAGAATCCGCGGCGTGGAAGGCGACCTCGTGAAGAGAGCCTTGGCCGCACTGATCCGGCCGTCGTCGCACCAGCAGCGCCGCCGCGGTGACTTCCGGCCACGACCGAGCAGGCTATCCGTAATGTCCAAAGCAAAAGAACATTGGTGAACGAATCTTCAATTTCGTTTGTTCCCTGATTCGCCGGAAACAGATTGAGATTTGCCGGCTTGATCAACGATTCGGATTGGATTAGGCTTTTTTTGTTACTTCTAGATCCGACATCCGATCAGAGACTCTGTGAATCAGCGTAGTTCTTTGTGCATGTACATAATCCAGAATTAGAATATAAAAAAAATGATCAATATAAAATAGAATACGAATGAAATATTAGTCAGTCGCTGCCATTGATGGCGATGCTTCAAACTCTGCTCCTAATTTGATGAAAACAATTTTGTTTAAAATCACTACTCCAAAATCAAAATAGTTAAAACATTTCTAAATTCTGTTTAACTAGTCCTCACTCCTCTCTCTAAATTCAAAGTAAGATTTACTTTGGAAATCCGAAGTTCATGAGTTCCGTGTCTTTCTGTTGTTTAATATCTCTGCCATTGCCCCTATTTCCATGCTCTCTGATTAATTCTTTATTGTTTCTGGTCTTATTCTTTCGCCGAATGGTCCTTACTTCTTAATCACTACTATTTCAGGTGGAAATTTTATAGATTTTTTTTTTTAGTTAGACTAACAAATGGTTAACAGACGGTTTTAAAATTCCATTGAAATATGAAAACGGTTTTAAAATTCCATTGAAATATGAAAATTCCATAACCTAGTGTGTAGATTGATCATCAAGCGCGAAGTCAAGAAATCAGTAAATCATTAAAGGGTAATGAAAGAGTTGGTAAATATAAATTGCATTGTATAAACATAAATTACCAGGAAAAGTAAAGAAAGCGATAAAAACAATTAACGATAATGGAAATTCATCTTATAGACTTTTCACTAACTGTCAATTCTCCTCTTTCCTTCACTTTTCGCTCTATTTATAAAACACCTTTCAGGTAAACACCTTTCAGGTAACCTCCTAAGAGTAGTTTAACGAAAATTGCTACCACGTTCTTCGTACACGTCTCTCGGAGTTTTACTTTAGTTTTACGGTTTTAGAAAACTGCTTCCACGTACCGTTCCTCAATTTATAACTTAGCCATAATTTCGATAACAATGTAGGTTAACCTTTCCCTCGATCTCGATTTTAAATCTCGAGAACTTTGAATTGCTTTTGATTTCCCTTAACATTACACTTGATTCTAATTTCTCGAGTTTCTTCAACAATAGATATCAAATATTCTTCCTTCGATTCTCAATTCCAATTCTCGATTTATGTGTTCATATTGTTACGTGGTCATCGAATGTCTTCCAACCATCTTTTCGATTTATCAATTTTTTAACCAATCATATGATCCTCGATATTTCTTTCCTCTATTTTTCGATCCCTATATCGACTTTTTCACTAACAAAATGCCCCCTTGGAAGAATATAAATATTTTTACTAATTTTATATTCTTACAAAAAAAAAATCCAACCCTCAAATATTCCTGAAGCCCAAAAATAATTGTTTAGGGTTTAAAGTTTATGGGGTTTTTAGGGTTTTTAGGGTTTTAAGGGTTTTTGCTGCTTTATGTCAAATATCAAATCACATCACCTTCCACTATCACAACACGAACGTCACGTATTAATTACCTTCTTCTCATATTCGTCGTTTCAAATACCCTAGTTGGCCTCTTTAAATACTCCAATCAATTTTACACTTGTTTTTTTACCAAGAACCTAACCCATCTTCTTTCTTCGTCACACATTTCCTCCGTTTTCACCCTTTCCACAACTGTAATGGCGACTTCCAAATCTTCCGACTTCCCCACCCTGCCACTTTCGTCGGTAACTTGGACTCTAATAGAGATAAACGATAAAAAGTTTGCTCCAGTTCCCTTGTTGGAAGAAGCTTCGCAGAAAATTGCCAAGATACAGCTACTTATCCCTTACGCAGTTGATAACATAGATTATGCATTTGGTGGTCCTATCCGCTATTGTGGTGGATCGTTTTCCTCTTCTATCTATCTTCCTTCAGAGAGTAAAGCCCTTATTCATAAATTCGAGGTACGAATTGATTTTCTAAATGTTGTTTCGAAAGTATATCGAACGGACCCTCCCCATAAAAAGTCTTTATACATCAGATGGTTTGATAGAGTAAAGACTAAGTTTGGGAATTACTGGAGAGATGTAGGGATTTTTGATTTTCTACACCTATCTCGATGCGATCTATCATTTCTGGATATGTCTATGTTTTTATCCGCGGTCCATTTATGGAATAAAGATTTACACGCGATGGAGTTGCCCTGTGGTCCCCTTTCCCCCACTCTTTTTGAGGTCGCTGCAATTACCGGGTTAAAGCCCATAGGGGAAAAATATTTTAAGAGTGCTCTCCTTTCAGACGACTCTCTCAAATCAAAAATCGATTGGGATTCGAAGGCTTATGGACACTTCATCGAAAAACATTTTATTGATGACCAATCGGTAGCCGTTTCTAATGAAGAACATGTTTTTTTGGTATATTGGCTTTGCACCCATGTATTTTGCCCTCGATCCATCCAAATCTCATCCCATTTTTATAATCTTGTCTACCTCCTCCATACTGGTCAACCCTAAGTTTGTTTGGCGAAACTTTTACTGGCTCATGTTTATACCACTTTCGATGAGGCTGTCGATATTCTGAATACACAAAGACCCTCAGGGAATTTATCAGGTCCTATATTGTTCATTCAATTATGGCTCACTTCGATTTTTGAAAGTATCCTTCCCCCACCATCCAAAGTTTCCCCAAGTTTAAATTTAGAAGGTGCTCGATTATCGTCTCGACATTCTCATCAAAAATCTTCAAATGAGGCTAGTTATCGAACCTATCTGAAATTTTTGTTAACTTGATTTCATTTTGATTCATGTCTAGCCCCTTTTACCGTATACCATGGAAAAGTAAGTGATAGACTTCGAGGGCCAACCTGGTTTAAATAAAAATTCCCAGCTCTTACTCCAGGGTTACAATCGGAACTAGTAGATGTATGGAGTAACTATTTGACCCAGGACGTTCTTGTATCAGGCTTTCAATCGAAGGATATCCAACTTGTCATCTATTACCCTCAACTTTTTTTGCGACAGTTCGGTTTAAGTCAAACTTTACCTTTTTTCAATCTCGATAGTTCCTCAAAGTCCAAGTTAAATGAATCGAATGTAGGACGAGAACTTGCCAAACTGTTACCACAAAGCCCGATGCATTTCTACCCTTATGCTTTTGAATCGAATTACTTGTCTACTCTTGGCTTTTCTCAATGGTGGAACGATTGATTTTTCACGCATTCATTCTGACTTTGATATCGTCCAATCGAAATTGACTACGCATCCTTCTCTCATGTTGCAGGATAAATCGAAGGCCAAGAAAGGTACATACTCTCATTATCTTCAAATATCTCGATTTGAAAACTTTTATCGAGAATGTTACAACCCTCTTAAATTAGAAGAAATATTTTACAATGTTGTTATATCCCTAGCTAATAAAACAGACACCAACAGATCGAACCACAAAATAATCAATCCTCGAGGAAAAACCCCGTTTGAAATGTATTGTCCCAACCATCTTCCCACTTTTCCTACAACCCCTTTTGGACTCGTCAAACCTTTAACTCATCCTAAATGAGTTCGAGAGTTGAGATCCTTGAAAGAAACTATTTCACCAAAACCCAAGAACAAGGAAATTTCGATATCGAAACTGTTTTACTTCTCTTACCTAAACCTTCCTCAACATTTTCTTCCTCCCTGGCTTGTCCATATCGATCGAGTCAAGATTTTAACTCCATCACCTTTTGGTGAGATTTTATTGCCTCTTTTAGAAATATATTTTTTAATTTTCTTCAAATTGTAATCTAACTGTTTTTCTTTCTCGACAGTTTCGAAGCCTCATAAAATCACCATCTCTGAGAAAGACTGGGAGTCTTCTGATGAATCGGACTCATCTGCCCCCACTCATAAACGAAAACACTCAGCTATAATTTCCTCATCTTCGAGAAAATCAAAGGTTTCTTTCTCGATTCCCTATTATCTTGTTTATTTGATTTCCTCTTCTATAGCTGATTCACTTCTCATTGTTTCCAAAAACAAAAATCCAAAAAGAGTCCTCGAGTCGCTCAACCTATCATAAATCCATTATCGACGGACTCTAATACGGTCAGTAAAGCAGGTCAAACAACACAGACAACACAGACTCATTCAAGTCACGTAAGTTCCCTCTTTTCATATATATTTTGTATATCTAAAATTCGAGAAGATTTATAACATGATTCCAAATTTTGATATTTCAAGACCATCCATCAGCTACAGTATCGACGAATGTCGATTCTTTGGTTCAGTCAACAGTACCAATTTTAGAGGTAAAGTTTTAAAAATCCTATTTTTCTCGACTCATTTTACATGTTTCCCTTCTTAACCTATATTTTGAACTGCAGCAACCTGAGGATGTACAAAACCCTTCCCCCACACCAACGCACCTCGATCCACCTTCTCCTTTTGGTAAAAATTTCTTCCTCACTGCCTATTTTTACCTTATCTCTATTAGGATTTTAAATTCATTTCCTCGAACAAACTCACTTCCCTTTTAGATAATATTGTAAATATCCCCCCATTCCAAATCCAAGATTCTCGTTCACCATCCCTTGCAGAACAACTGATTTCTCCTCCTTTCGAGGTTCCATCTGTCAAACTGATTTCATTGACATTGCCTGAAATAAGTGATCCTACCCCAGAAGTAGGCATGGCAACGGGGCGAGGCGGGAGTGGGTTTTGCCTCCCCGATCCCGACCCCGCCCCGATCCCCGTCGGAGTTAAAAATTAAGTCCTCATCCCCGTCCCCGCTGGGTTTCGGGTTCCCGCTCCCGACCCGTCTCCGATCTATATTATTTTTAAAAAGATAATTACATTTATAATAAATTAATTTTCTTGTGTATTTTTTATATATAAATAAATTTTTATAATTTTATAATTTATAATTATTATTAATTAAATATATTTTTAATTTATTATATTTATATTAAAATATGTATGTAAAAAAATATTTAATTATTTTTTAT